TTACTCATGCTCTCTTTCTTTTGACCTACTTTCAAGATGTCAAAATTAACCTGACAACTAAACACAGTTAATAGTTCATGCAATAATTTCAGATAGATAATTTTTTAAAGTTTTAATAAAATTCATTCTGGAATATTCACAGAGCGCCATTATATGAAGTAGTAAATTCAATAATCTAATAGACAATTAAACTAATCCGAAATTCTCCAACGATAATCATTTAAAAGATGAGAAATACTTATCATCGAAGTTCAATAAATAGACGGACAGACGCCTCCTATGATCATATAATTCACATTTGTTAGATGTTACTGCTTTTGGAAAATTCTCTTTCATGCAAAAAAATTGGGAAAGACTAATCTAAGGGCTTCCCTCCCCCACATTGAGGTGTTGGGAATTTCGGCTTACTCCGTCAAGTACTTCGTATAGCATAAAAAGATTTTCCATCGGACAAATAGGAAATTCCTCCCAGTTCTTTCACTATACCGCCTCCTTTGGAATCAATAGGTAGTAATGTCGTAGTTAGAGCGTTCGTCTAAGTAGTCAATGGCCACAGATTTGCTGCCTCTCGGTGTATAACTGATGAGTCAGTTAATCAACCGCATTGTTTAATAAGGGACTGATATTTGAGCATTCAATTCTGCATTTGGCATTTACTCTACAATCTGTACTTCGATGCATAGCTATAATTTCCCCTGGAAAAATAAATGGGAATGATGCTCTTTCTTATATCACGGGGTTTTAGGAATTTAAACTTTATAAGTTCTATAAAACAAGCTTTGAATATGACAAAGGTGACATTGCTAGAAAGTCAAAGAAGTTTCAATATTACAAATAGAGAAGAGGCCGATGAATCAATGTTGACGTGGCATAAGAAACCAGTGTCTGGAGTTGTCAACGCTCTACATTATAATGGTGCCAAAAGAATTGAGTCAATTGTCACCTTTACTATTTCTTACAAAAGTGAGCGTATTGAGGTCAGTTATGAACGAGACACCATCTCTGTCTTGTGCAGTTCTAGCGGACAACCCTTAGTGAAGGTAAAAATAGAATATCATGTCTGAGTTATACCCCTAACCTTTGCATTTAAGAAGGCTGGGAGTAAAAAGGACATATCACCGTATAACACTCGACAATTGTAGGCTTTATGGAATATTAGATTAGAAAAATCTAATTCTTCTTTTTTAATTATTTACTTCAACTTGACTACATTTTTTTTCATTTGGCAGTTAAATAACTGAAACGAATAGGTATAAAATAGGCAAATAAGATGCGTGAAGTGCAAAATGATGACAAAGCTGGACAAAGGAACCTTCTACTCTGGAAAGCGCGTTAATGCCATTGATCATGTAGTCAGCAATTACATCATCCTAATCAACCACCAATATTCATTCAACGTATACTCATACGGCAAAATAGTCTATAAACCAGCAGTTGACAACTGACTTCAAACTACCACGTCCCCACTCTATGTCAAATTCGACTACTTCAACAGTTCTCATCTTACCTTTTTTCTCTGACTTTATATCTGTCTCTCACTTCTACATTTGTGAATCACTCTTTCCCCTCTCGAATTTTTCTCACTGGATGTTACTCCCCTCTGGAAAGTCCGAAGTCAGCTGCCTTTTGAAATAAATAAAAAATATTCATTCAAAGTACCAATAAATGTGTTTTTACCTACTGCAATTATCATCGTTGTTACTGAAAGATCCTATTATGAAATTTAACAAATCATTAAAGCCCTCTTCGAGTGGTTCAATGTGGTTATAAAATAAACTAACTGAGTCATTGGATAAAGCTCAATTAATGCAAATGAACTTTAGTCCATTTGTAAGTATCGCTAGGTAAATTAAGGGTACCGATCACAAAAGAGTGAGGACATTTTGCTCAATATGAACTTTTTTACGAAACTCAACTATCAAATCTAACCGAAGTCGGTAAGATAAATTCCAATCCAATTAAAGTGATTATTGAGATTATTACCAGTAGTTGAAGATGTGGTTATCTAATAACAATTCGCAGTATTGCTGCTAAAAGTATAGGACAAATTGTGCAAAAATTGGAAAATAAGGTGTACTTTCTTATTAGCAGTAGAGCAGTTTTGAAATGAGTGAAATTATTAAAACATTTTCTATTCTCAACTTAAGAGCCGAGCTATCAGATACTAAAAAAAAAATCTACGAAGGTGTAAAATTACCAAAAGTGAATATTAAAGACTTTAAAGAAATTGAAAGTGGATTAATAGGTTGCTTCTACGTGAAATGCTTCAAGATTGATTAGTGAGGCTACTTTCTTAGGAGATGGTAACGAGGCACACGTTCATTGACCAACTTTTGTAATTGGTGGTTGGTAACCCAAAAATGAATGTTGATCTTCACTCTTAAAAGTCCATTACTTGCTCAAATTCCATGAAATCGCTTTCCGAAATACGCGTCAAATTACTAGATTGATCTCTGTTTATCTATAGAGTAGATCAAGTTGGTCGTACTCCGCATATTTTCACTTTCTTTATGAAAATAATTTTGGAATTTATGCACCATTAAATCAAGTACTGACTCGAATACGACCTTTTTGGTAAAATAACTACTAGCCTAATGTTCAGAATCACTTTATTTATAAAAAAAGTGAGAAGTTCAATATTCTTTTGAGATTTTCAGTTCCTTCTTACAAACGTTTGGAATTTATCTGTCTACTCACAAACAAGATAAAAGACAAAATGTACTTAATCAGCAATCAATTTTAAAAGTACGTAAAAGAATTGTACCAAAAGCTACATTCAGACGCGAAATTGGAGGATCATTTAACTTTTAAAATCAAGTAATCACTCAAGCACTGTAAGAACGAAATCGGCTTATTGTACCGGTTCTGCAAGAGAGTCTCTTCAAATTAAGCACGAAAATTGTTTCGATGACTGTTTTGCGGGATAGTAGTGGAATCTGGAACTGAATATGGTTAGCGGAAAAAGTATTCACCGTTACTCCGTAGAGTTTGTCTTAATCGACCAAACAAAATGAAAATTGCATTTAGGTGACAGGAAAAGCCTCTCCATTCGATCTGAACACTGTAAAAATTAGCTCGTTTCTGAACCCCTTACAAAGATTTTAACTTTATGTAAGCACACAGTGAAATTGCTGCTTACTAAATTTTTAATTCGTAAAGCTAACACTTATAGATTGATTGATTGATTGTGACCATTGTATAAAGTGGTACAAAATTGAATAATTGGAGGGAGAGAGAATAAGGTGCTCGTGCAGCAATATCTGTATCTTGGTGGTCGTGAAAGTTTCCCCGATTCATTGATAACAAATTTATTTCTATGTACAAAGGCTTCTACGATAGCCTGAAGATCAGCAAGTGAATAGGCTTCTATTTGCAAACATGCACCTAGATCTGGACCTACGTGAATACAGTAACCGAAGTCTAATCAATTACAATTTTGAGCCCAAGAAATTTAAAATATCGAGAGTACAAGTCTGTCAACTTTCTGACTCAATAATGTAATATTCGTTTAATTTACACTTATCGATCTCAGATACTTACTTTATAAGTCGTCACCAGCACTATTGAGTAAATTCATCTCAACGACCTTCATTGCATTTTGAAGTCACTCAGTTTTATCACTTTTGTTCGTCCATTTTCTGTCAAAAATTCGGAAAGCAGAATGTTGTAGATTTAAGATAACTCATCAACTTAATGTTGTCATTTCTCATAGTAAAGCAAGCGACTGCCAATTTTAGTGTGAATGAAAGTGGAAGTTCAACATGTGACCACTTTTCTCTACTTCTTAATATTACTCTAATTTAACTTTCTTTAACCTTCAAATTAAAACTAATTTTGTTGTATTAAATTGAATTGTTACCAAAAATGTAATTAAAGAAGCTTCAATATTAATTATTTATAATTTAGTATTATTATTAAAATATACCGAAAGTGCGGACAATTACTGGACATACTTTGAAGAAAAGAAGGCTTTGCCGTCAGTTACCTTTGAGTAATTCACTAATGTAACTCATCAGCGTTAGGGGATCCTAGACAGATCCGTCGCTAGCTCTTTAACATTCGATTTATTTTTTAGCAAAACGTACCCGATCGCACTCACGCGTGTCTCACAGCAGACTGATGCCGACGTGATGAGTTTTGGCAGCTATTGACGTATTGTCCATGTTTCAAAAGCCAATGATGCTTTCTGTTACGAGTTTGGTACTAATGGAGCTTATTTCGAAAGAGGACCGTACGGTCCTTCAGACGTTAAAGATTTAAACAAATAATACTGCGTTATCGAATCCAAAATGGGGTGCTCAAATTGATTTTGAAATGTTTATTCTCAGAATGTGTTCTTTGAAACGTGTTCAGTTGGGTTGTGGGACACGTTATCGCTTTGTGTGTCATCGCATGCCTGCATGCCAGGATTGGGAGGTGCGGCCGTACAACTCTGTGTGCAGCGACCGTACAAACAGTGACCAATCATCAACCTCTGTTTAACCTAATCCCCCATCCTGATCATGAGTAGCTCCCTGCGTGTACACTTTATCCGCTATATACGTACTGAGTAAACGTGCTCCTTGCTACACGTCAGTTTCCTTTATATCTGGCTATAGCCAAGTTGGTTCTGGGAGTCTAGCTAGATGTTGGAGAACCTGCCAGAGAGATTTCTGAGTCAGTCAGGCTTTACTACGATAGTAATCCGCTACATGGTCATATTTCTATACTATTAATATTTTTGATGTTTGCCAGCTTGAATTATGTGCTGACAATCTAATTAAATCAAAATGTGGAAAGATTTCTTCTAAAATAACTCTACTTATTTGAATTAGGTATCATTTATTATTCACTAAATGTCAGAACCAATTGAACAGTATGAGCTCGTTATAATAACACCAGCTAACCTTAAATTCACATTTGCGGAATGCCTTAAAATCTTGTATATTATTGATGAGAAATTGACTAGGTATACAAGTCGTGTGCGGTCTTTGCATGTGTTGACAGTTAACGATAACATACTAGAAGATGGTACGATCAGAGATTTGCGATCTTGAAATTCTCAGTCCAAATAGAACTAGACATTTTCCAAGACTTATATTCTGAAACTGTTGTTTAGCTTTTAAGATGGCTTGCCTTAGAACAGCTGACTGCCGTCTCCAAGCTTGTACGTCTTCCGTTCTTCCAGTCTGATCAGCAGTGTTGCGAAGGGCGTCCCACTTTCTTTTCAGTTCCTCCGTGCGATTTCTTTTCAGTTCCTCAAGGTGTTTAGATCAAAACACACATTTCAGTTCCTCAAGGTATTCAGACCAAAACACTCGATAGTGATAAGTCTTGCCACGGGAAATAGTTTTCTTGGCACATCTGATCATAATATTCATGATATCAGTGCAAAGTTTGTCAGGATGTTGGTTGAAGTTGAGGGGACTTGTGTGAAGTTCATTCTCTAAAAGGTTTATGAATCTAGGCCAGTCAGCCTTCTTGAAGTTTCATGATAGCTTAGTTGGTAATTTCGTCGTCGTGCTTTTACTGCCGATGGTAATACTACCAATGACTGGTTTGTGACCAGAACCAGGATCGTCAATTATTTTGAGGTGTGCATGCTCGCTGATGTCGCTTGAAGCCATGGGCAGGTCAGGAGTCGTTCTGGTTCCATTGTAGTGCAGGTATGTATCAGGATCCACACTGCTGTAAATAAGTTCTAGAGGGTTGCCGTTAAGGTTGTCTTTGATTTCCTTTCCAGCTATGTTTATGTTCTTATAGCCCTATCTGGTGGAATGGGCGTTGAAGACTCCTGCTACTACAGTTTTGTGTAGGATGTTCAGAAAGTCAAAGTTGGATCTATTCTGGGGTGGACTATAGACCCCGTATAAATTGAAGTGGTTTTGACTTTTCCAAACATTTAATCTGATTATTTCGCATATGTCTTGTGTTGAGCCCATGCTCTGGATTTGATCGTAATGTGATGTGATGCCTCCTTTTTCTCCAGTCAGAATTTCAGTTGCAACTTGCCGGTATTAAGGTAAAAAGTGCAAGGTGTAACCTGGGAATCGGTAGTATTTCAGTCTTTTATCCGAATGGTTTGCTTTCATAATTGTGAAGATGTCTACATTATAGATTTGTAGATTTTCTGGACTTGTATCTTTTTGTCATGTGACATTTCTCTAGCATTCCACTGAAGGATCTGTAGACGTTGTGTTTCGCCCCGACGATGGCGGTTTCTCTTATAGCTTCGTTTCAAGCNGTCGTGCTTTTACTGCCGATGGTAATACTACCAATGACTGGTTTGTGACCAGAACCAGGATCGTCAATTATTTTGAGGTGTGCATGCTCGCTGATGTCGCTTGAAGCCATGGGCAGGTCAGGAGTCGTTCTGGTTCCATTGTAGTGCAGGTATGTATCAGGATCCACACTGCTGTAAATAAGTTCTAGAGGGTTGCCGTTAAGGTTGTCTTTGATTTCCTTTCCAGCTATGTTTATGTTCTTATAGCCCTATCTGGTGGAATGGGCGTTGAAGACTCCTGCTACTACAGTTTTGTGTAGGATGTTCAGAAAGTCAAAGTTGGATCTATTCTGGGGTGGACTATAGACCCCGTATAAATTGAAGTGGTTTTGACTTTTCCAAACATTTAATCTGATTATTTCGCATATGTCTTGTGTTGAGCCCATGCTCTGGATTTGATCGTAATGTGATGTGATGCCTCCTTTTTCTCCAGTCAGAATTTCAGTTGCAACTTGCCGGTATTAAGGTAAAAAGTGCAAGGTGTAACCTGGGAATCGGTAGTATTTCAGTCTTTTATCCGAATGGTTTGCTTTCATAATTGTGAAGATGTCTACATTATAGATTTGTAGATTTTCTGGACTTGTATCTTTTTGTCATGTGACATTTCTCTAGCATTCCACTGAAGGATCTGTAGACGTTGTGTTTCGCCCCGACGATGGCGGTTTCTCTTATAGCTTCGTTTCAAGCTAATCATAATAAATTGAAGTCAAATCCAATGCCGAGTGATAGACTTTTTGCCGTAGGAAGATACAATGTCCAGGGTGCACCAAGTGAAGATAAGTCTACCGCAAATATCTTAAAATGCCGAATTAGTGCAGACAGTCACGGCATCAAGTGCTTATTTTACGCAGATGATCTTGTATTGCTCTGAGCCACTCAGTACAGTCACAGAGGTGACTCCCACACCACTCGAGAAGGCACACAACCAAGCATTACGACCCATTACTGGATGGATGAAATCAACACCCATTGATGCAATGCTCCTAGTTACAGGAAGAACCACAATATGTTCCCTTATCAAAGAGAAGGCCTTGATTCTGTATGAGAAGCTACTGCGCATTCCCATGGACAAGTTCTTCAGCATCTATGAGAATAGACTAAGACATCTGAAAACGCAATCTGGTCTAATACAGAAAGCCATAGAACTGAAGAAAGAATTACAAATCGATGACAAACCAAAAAGCCTCTCTCTATTTATGAATCCATTAGCAGGCACTGATGTAGTGTGTTGCATTCAACTGCTTGTCTACATCAGGAAATCAAACACCCCTCCAGAACAAATGCGCTCACTGGACCTTGAGATAATCAATGTCAATTAACCTACAGATCAATGGCTCCAAGTCTTCACTGATGGGTCATACATAGAAAACCAAGCAAACGTTGGTGCAGGTGTCTATTCTGAACTCATCTCTTTCTACGTAGCAGCGGGACACAATAGATCCGCTTTCGAAGAAGAAATAGAGGCCATTAGGATAGCACTGTGCCAATTATGTTGCCTGGATACGAAATTCACCAGGACTCACAGTCAGCAATAAACTCAATTGGAAGCAGAGAGCAACCCAAAACAGCTGAGATAAAGGAATGTAGAAAACTCTATGAGCTGCTGAGAGAGAAAAACAAAACAGTGGTCCTACAATGGATTCCTGGTCACTGTGGCATTAAAGGCAATGAGTTTGCTGACACACTTGCTAAGAAGGGGACAACGATTTTGCAAAGCATTGACCGGTAGATGATGTCTTTCCACACAATGAAGGCCTTAATCAGGAGAGAATTCGAGACCTCAAGGTGCAACGAACTTAAAGCTCGAACAAAGGAGAAACAGTGGACAGTAGCACTCTCCGAAATAGCCGACTGACCAAGAATCGAAGCCGTTGCTGAGCCTAGACTACGTGCCGGACACGATTGCTTTGCAAAACACCTTCACAGATTGGGATCAAAACACCTTCACAGATTGAGAGTATACACTCAACCCACATATACTCTATGTAACCTACAGGAGGAAATGGAGAAGTCCCACCTGTCTATGTGACCTACAGGAGGAAACGGAGAAGACCCACCATATGTAACCTACATGAGGAAATGGAGAAGACCCATCTGAATATGTAACCTACTTGTGAAACCTACAGGAGGAAATGGAGAAGACCCATCTGATTCTCTACAGGAGAAAATGGAGAAGACCCACCTGATTCGGTGTTCAAAGGAGGAAATGGAGAAGACCCACCTGATTCGGTGTCTAGCGGAGGAAATGGTGATGACCCACCTGATTCGGTGTCCAGCTCTAAAGACAACGCAGACCCACCTGATTCGGTGTCCAGCTCTAAAGACAAGGACATGGAGTCTGATTGTGAAACCTACAGGAGGAAATGGAGAAGACCCATCTGATTCTCTACAGGAGAAAATGGAGAAGACCCACCTGATTCGGTGTTCATAGGAGGAAATGCGGAAGACCCACCTGATTCGTTGTCCACCTCTAAAGACAATGACGGAAAGCCGGAGATACTGGGAAGCAAGAAGTCAGCTAATGAACTGCTATTAATTAACTATTATATATAACCCCCCCCCCAAACCATGGGAAAAGCTGAAGTCAAAGTTTAAGGACTAAGGATAAACATCATAAAGCCTGCCATTTGAAAAATAATATTTTGAAAATGTTCCAAAAACCCCAATTAACTATTTCCTCCTGAGCTTTAAAAATAGTGGTCAGCACTTCCATTTAAGCATTTTTCTTATCAGATGATCTAGCTAATCACGGAAAGTGTAAGTGGTTAAGCTTAAGAGTTTGGTACTTTTAAAGCCAAATTTATGACATAAGTACTCCCCCAACTAATTCTATGGCATTTGGTATTTAGAAGGACATTTTATCGCCATCAAAGTACCACCGTTGAATTTTCCTTCTATATAGAATACAAACAGCGCCTAATTACTTACTGAAAGCACAACTTACAGGATATCCTCACTTTAGCAAAGTCAGCTATTAATGCTGCGTCTCTTAGTGATCATTAATAATATGGGCACTTGTTTGTCTGTTTTGGTAATTTCGAAACAGTCCGGCTTGCGATTAATAGGCATTTTGAAATAGACGAAATCTGGTAGCTTTATGATAGCACTTTAGTTGACCTCGAGCTTTACTCAGGGGAAGGAGAACCAAAGTCACAAAAAGGAGGGAACAGAAGAGTGATTTGCAGGTATAAGGGAGACAGACCGACACAAATGTAGAAAAAAGGTGAGATGAGTACTGTGAATATATGGCATACAGTGGGGTGATGGTAGTTTGAAGTGAGAAGTCAACTGCCGGTTAATTGACTTTTTGCCGTATGAGTATGCGTTGCCCAGGGTGCACCACGTGGAGGTAAGTCTATCGAACACCCCATTGCATATATGTAATTTATAATTATTTGACATTTTCCTGTAGGAAAGCTACTATTTTTAAGCTTTTACAAATTTTAGTAAAGGAACGGTGAACCCTATAATTGTTTGTTTCTCAATGCGATCGTACGCTAGAGTGCATATTTCCAGATGAGTAAGGATAAGTTTCTCGATAACGTGCACCTGTGTTTTGATTCCCTCTAGCACCAATCTCGACTTGTAGATTTTAGAAGTAGCTGAGTAACAGTGATTACAAGAGGAAGATAATATTTAAAGAGGAATAGGTGTCTTGCAGCATTAATTTTTCATCAAAGGTCTTGCCATCAAAATTAGAATAAATTGAGTTTCGAAATTTCTGGAATTAGAGCATATATTAGGTTATTCAAAGGTTCAAACTATTGACCACTTGGTGAGATTGATGTTCGTTTATAGGCCATTAAGCATGAAAGAGAAAGATAAGTGAGTCAGGCTTAGAATTGTCAATCAAATATCGAATGAAAATTAGTTCTGGGCTCGAGCTTGCCAAAGGACACACGAATCCAAGGGCCCGCCTCCGTATAAAATAGGCTTAAAGGCGTCACAAGACTTTTATTATGTTTATTTTGCAATTTTAATCTCTATAAAGGCAGCTGCATTGGCAATCTGTTTTGGTAATCCTGAAAAGATAACAGGAGGATTCGCGGAATTCAGCTGATTGACTTAGAGGAGCAAACTTTCAATGCAAAACAACTTGATTGATAAAGAGAAGTGTTATCGACCTCTTATTGCAAGAGATCGAATGGACATCAATGTTTGGCTAAGTGGACTAACGGTTTCCGATTCTGATGATCAGAAAATGTATTTGTTTCAAATGGCAGGCGTTTTGATAGCTATCATTATCCAATTTAGCTGACTTCGGGCTTCACAGGGAGAAGGTTCATCAAAGTAGCAGAAAGTCGAGGGGTGGGGAACAGTAGAGCAATTCACAGATGTAAAAGAGGCAGACAGACACAAAGGTAGAGAAAAAGGTGAGGTGAGTACTGTGAAAAGGGGTCGAATATGACAAGCAGTCGGCCATGGTAGTTTGAAGTCAGAAGTCAGCTGCCAGTTAATAGACTTTTTTGCCGTATGAGTATACATTGCCCAGGGTGCACCACGTAGTGGTAAGTCTATCGCACACCCT